GGTATTCGGCATGACGAGCAAACCCTTTAACCACTAGGCTACCCCAGCGCCCCTTATATTCAATTGGTTTAAGCTGGCACATAGGCCAGGTTTCCATCCAAACAATACTGCTTTTAAGCATTTGTGTAATTATCCAAGAATACACGGTGGTCTGGACAGTATTGAGTCTCTCACTGCAGTACACCATGGTACCAAAAGGTCTGAAAGTGGAGCACAAAACTTTCATCTTGCTCTATTACTGAACTATTTTGTACGACCGGCATGTTTTCTCGACAAGTGATGGTGGAGCACCATACTTCAAGCATGCTGTAACACTGAACCAATTTGTACAACCAGGAATACATCTGTCTAAAAGTGTTTAATAAAGCTCACTTCCTGACGCTGTGGTGGACTGGCTTCAGAGTAACAGGGAATTCAGAAACATAAATGTCAGTTAAAAACTCAAAGTGAGTTTAGTTTTACGCCTCTTTTAGCAATATTCCAGCAATATCATGGCCTTGGACACCAGAAACAGGCTTCACACATTGTACCCATGCAGGGAATTGAACCCAGGTCTTCAGCAAGACAAGTGGACACTTCACCCATTAGGCTACTCATCGCCCCTAAAAATTAAAAAATGTAGAAGAGGGCTAGTAGTCTGTACAGGTGAAAGTGGAACACTATGCTTCCAGCATGCTGTACCACTGAACTACTTCATCGAACCAGCATGCCGTTTCTGGTCCAGGTGATATTGGGGCACAGTCAGCTTGCTTTATTGCTGCACAATATGTTCTCCGGTCAAGGTGAATCAACATATGCATTTACATAACCCTGTCTAAAAAGCAGATGACTCACAAACTAGGTGAATTATTGATTTGTAGCACTGAATTTCATCAAATTTTTTTAAATTTGGATTTTTACTCCAATTTCATTTCTTTCATTCTCCATGTCCACCAGACAAATCCTTACAATTTTTTCTCCATTCAGAACAGTCTATGTTCATTTTCCCCACACAGAAATCAGACATATATGTTGACTAGCACCTTCTGATGCCTTGCTCCAAGAACTCTGAAGCCTCTATGCCTGTTGTCCAGGTTGAAAGACAAAAGTTTGTAAGATTTTGACAGAGAAAGGAATCAAAGATGTCATTTCAATGAAATTGTAAGAAATATAATGTTGCTATCAGAATGCGGTGCAGTTGGTGATATTTGAACTCTCCAGCGGGGTACACTTCTGCCTGCTGATTGCAGAATAGTTTCCCACTAAATCAGCACGCAGGAAACACTATGCAACAGAGGTACCAGCATTACAAACATGGGAAAAAAGGTTACCAGGGATTTGTACTTATAACAGATGGCCTATCTGATTCTTTAAGTGAGTGAGTTGGGTTTTATGCCGCTTTTAGCACTATTCCAATAATATCACAGCGGGGGACACCAGAAATGGGCTTGACACACTGTACCAATGTGGAGAATCTAACCTGGGTCTTAGGTTTGACGAGTGAATGCTTTAACCACTAGGCTACCAACTGCCTCTCAGCAGCAGTGATGAAAAGGTCTCAACAGAAGCTTTTCTCATACATCTACACTCAATACAGAAGCTTTTCTCATACATCTGCACTCAAATATCTATATCAGGAAGTATTTACATGTTAATAGGAACTTGAATGCAGCTGGAAGGTATTTTGATAATGGTTTAACCAAATACAGTAATGATGTGAGTGAAACTTGACATGGAAGCAATGCGATCAGGTGGAAAATGATTTCACAACATTAATCTGCACCTTCTGTTACATGTACCTGGAAATATGCTGCATGGCAATTAGATCATCAAACATAAAACATCTGGTACATATGTACTAGAGTGTGTTTGTTTGTTGTTGAACGCCACACTCAGACAAATGTACTAGTATGTAACATATGTAAAGGATCACCCAGTCCTTTAAAAAAACTACAGCCAATTTATCATGCCTTGAACAGTGGTAGCTAAATGGTTCATGTGTTCGCCTGTCATGCCAAAAACCAGGGTTCAGTTCCAAATATGGATAGAATGAGAATCCATATCAGGTGCTGCCCACTGTCACATAGACTAAGGCTTAGTCTCTGAATATATATAATTTTGATAGTAACAAACAAGCCCATTTAAATTGAAAAGGAGCCCTAGGGATAGGGAGACCAGAGATTCTGAACCTGGGGAAATCTAGACTTGCTTCGTTTAGGGCTTTAGCACTACAGGGAAGGCTAGGCTGTAGGGAAAATAATGTGGTTCAGGGACTGTGAGACAGACTATCTGTCACATTACTACAATATTTTGGGAAAACAGGGTAAACCACACTCGCTCACTTATCACAAAACATCGCCAGGCACCCATAGCTGTTACAGTCCTGTCACTCACAGGGAGATAACATCTACACTGCTGAAGAGTAGCCAACAGGAGACTAACTGGAAACCCACGGAGTTTATTTATGTTTGCACCCCGGCCTTTAAGCCAAATTTCCCCTTTCTGATAGTGGACTTGTAATGTGCAACTCCTGATGGTGAGAAGTGAGCTGAGTCATGTCCAGGTCGACCATGTGACAGCTGGCAACAGCTGGCCCACCTGACACCAGACCACAACATCAGCTTCGTAATGGTAACAATCGCCACAAGCACGATAAACCCACTAACTTATCTCCACCCTGCAGTTTCCATTTCCACTCATAAATTCAAGGGCCTAGACACATAAAGTTCTTGTTTACCCAAAAGAGAGTAGGGTTTTATACTGTTTTGGCGATATTCCAGTGAAATCAAGGTGGGGGAAACCAGATATGGGCTTGACGTATTGTATTTATGTGTTTTACTAAAACCCAGCTTAAACAGTAGATACATATAGGTACACAACCTGTAGCTATCCCGTTTAGCTGTTTTATCAATGAGAGTTAGTGAGCTGGGTTTAACACCAGATATAGCAATATCCCAGCAACATCATGGTGGGGGGACGCCCAAAATGGGCTTCACACATTCTAGTCTAGTAAACACGTTTTCTGCCGAAATCGCCGATGCGCGACACTTAGCGGTTGTTTACATAACCGACAGGTAACTAGGAAGTGGCCCAAGTCTGTGAGTGATCAAAATCTTGCAGTGTCACGAATATTGGGGAGTTTAAACCAACTTGGATATATCATTACTTTTTGCCGCCCTTTCCGGCAGGATTGCTCTTACATACAATAAATAATGCGAGAATGGGAGAAGCCTCGTTTCGTCAGTGGCGGATGGCATTGTTTATCACCGGGCTCATGAGTGGTAATTCACCTGATGGATCTAGCAGCTGATAAATGTAGATGTTAGACGAGAAGGACCTTCATTTAAATACAACAAGCATGAATACGATAAGAATTGTTTATGTTATTTAATCAGCCGATATCCGTAAGTACCGCGAGAAAAGGGAAACGCCTTCCTACATCTATCCACCAAACTGAGGAACCTTAAACAACTTGAGTGAGTTTGGTTTTACGCTGCTTTTAACAATATTCCAGCAACATCAGGGCGAGGGACACTAGAAATGTGCTTCACACATTGGACCCATGTGGGGAATCAAACCCAGACCTTCGGCTTCTTAAACAACTTCACTTGTGACGAGTGACCAACAAGTGTTGACCCTAATGATGTCATAAATTGCAAGTTTTTCATGCCGTCATTCATCCACTATTCATTTCAAATGTCAAACCAAGCTGTCATGCAGTTGACATGTCGCCACACTCGTCATGCTGTCATGCTAATGGTGTATGTTGGAAGGGTGAAGAAACACACTTCACCCAGGCTGCTGAAATGATAGATGAACCAATAAAGAACATCATCTGCTGTTGTCATAGCAACAATGAAGTGTTTCATGACAACATCCACTTAACCTAATCCAAGTTTTCACAAAACCTGTTCAACAAAGTAGGCATCACGTCATTGCCCCACGATAAAGAGACTTCTGGTGCAAGAGTGCAGTTGCTTGGCAGCTTCAATCAATTACGGCGCCAAAGAACTGTGTCAAGGTGTTTTGGCATCAAGTTCAAGTAACTGCCATTGTTTATTAATTAAACCATAATAAATTTATCGTGATCGGCTGTAACGAGAAGATCGACTGATAGATTCTACTCTGAAGCAGATGGGTGGGGTGAACTGTCAGTCAGAGGCTGACACAGTCCCAACGTACACGCAATGTGGTTATTTGGGCCAGTTTTACACTCACACTTGTGCAACACAGATTTTTCATTGAAGGCTCTTAATCACTGATACTCTTTATGAAGCTACATATGTAACACCTAAATGTCTTATAGCACGCAAGCACGTGATGCATTTTTATACCAGCACTGTTTTACTTATTTCACAACAGCCTGTAAATCTCTGGGCCAGAAATAAACAGTTCTTGATTGCAAAAGCACGACTTGCCGCAGTGGTGAAAAATATTAACTCTAACCACTGAGCATTTTTTTAAATTAATTCTTTAGACAAAAATAGGATACTAGGGTATATGTTCATATATTTGCAGTCAATATATGACCATAGCCATTATAAAACTAAATCACCGGTGGTCGATGGTGCAAGCAATATCTCGCTGCCATGGTGATAAACTCATTCAAACCAACTGAGAATGATTCACCAGGTCTTGAGACAAACACAGCATACTAGGGTCCTATTCTTCTGTTATCAAGTAAATGTTCATGTAGAGTGAGCCAAATACCTCAGATATCCGAAAAGTTAACTGTCAAGTCAACTTTCACTAAAAAAACCAATCTCTTATGTCATAAAAGTGACTGTCTATAATGGTTTGGGCTTCACACATTGTACCCATATGAGAAATCAAACAAGAATCTTTGGTGTGATGAGCGAACGCTTTAACCACTGGGCTATCGCACCGCCCCTTTTGTCAGACACCTTCAGCTTTAACCTATGTTTCAGTTCACGTCGGGACTTTGGCAAAGTGTGCTGGTGCACACACTTACTTTCGAAAACCCTTTGGTGGACTCTGGGATTAAAAGTGTATATTCTTACCTAAATCTTCTATTTCCATTTTGTCGACATCAGAGTCCATTGATAACTGTAAAATAATGATCATTTGAAATCAGAACCTAACACATGTTAAAAGCATTATTATAATATTATCAGCATGAAGCACAAATCCAAACCATGTCAGATAACTTCCACAGGAATGCATGTGTATTAGTCAGAAAACACAGAAATAGTAATCCATCCAAATTCACCACACCACTTTAAACAACTCAAGGCCACAGCTCACATATTATAGTTTAAGAATATGTAGCTTGGGTACGTGGGTCTAAACAAAAGTAATAATGAATTAATGTGGGTCAATTACTTTCAACATTACTTCCAGTTGTTAGTGGTTTTACTGAGTGAAATATATGCTTACTCTGTTTCAAGTGACTGTGAGAGAAGGCTTTGTCTTGCAGGTGCTTGCAGTCACTATACAATTACCTATGATTAGTGATTTTTGAGTTTATGAGGTCAGACTAGTACATAATTATGCTAGTCTCTCTTAACAAGGTTGGACTTGTATTTCACTGTTTAATATCCTTTCACTGTTTAATATGAAGTCAGAATAGGATATAATTAAGCTAGGGTCCCTTCATGGGGTCAGACTAATGTATAATTATGCTAGTGTCTCTAATGAGGTCGGACTTGATATAATTGTGCTAATGTCCCTTCATGAGGTAGTCTAGTGTATTATTATGCTAATGTACCTGCATAAGGTCGGACTTATATAATTGTGCTAATGTACCTTCATGAGGTAGTCTAGTGTATTATTATGCTAATGTACCTTCATGAGGTCGGACTTGATATAATTGTGCTAATGTCCCTTCATGAGGTAGTCTAGTGTATTATTATGCTAATGTCTCTTCATGAGGTCAGACTTGTGTGTAATTGTGCTTATGTCCACTAATGAATTTGGACTTGAATATAATTGTGCTAATGTACCTTCATGAGGTCGGACTTGTATATAATTGCATGCGAGTGGTCATTCTGGAAGGATCGTGCCATGGTGGGTGGTGCGGACTTAGGCTCGTTGCTGGACTGGAACCGGAGGGGCGATACTGGAACAGACAAGTAACAAACTGCTGACTCAGCCACAAACAGCGTCAGTTCATGCACAGCTTAGCTCAGAGATATAACTTTAAAACATCAAACAATTCAAACATTTTGTTAGCTTATCATGCAGACTCTGAAATATAATATCCGGCATCTCTGAAACTGAAGATATTCCAGGGGCTCCATGTTCTTCATACAAGAAGACAAGTGAACAAATAAAACCTCTTTAAAACATATTTATTTCTGTGACAAACTATTAGCCTTTGTGTGAACAAATTACAGTTCTCAGAAGAGTTGTTTGTTACAGTATAACAGTCTGCTAAAAAATAATAGTCCATGTAACAACTATTAAATCTGAAAGTGATGCTTAGAGCCAAGTTTAAGCATAAGAAGACTAAACATTGTTTGGCATCGACCAACATGATGATGATGATGATGACTGATTGAATGAGTTTGGTTTTACGCCGCTTTTAGCAATATTCCAGCAACATCACGGCTGGTGACACCAGAAATGGGCCTCACACACTGTACCCATATGGGGATTCGAACCTGTCATCATGATCATCATCATCATCATCATCATCATCATCATCATCAAGACAAAGACTGATGCCTACAACGTATATCCTGCAGGCTACTGAGTGAGTGAATATGGTTTTACACTGGATTTAGCAGTATTCCTTCATTATTACCATGGGGACGCCCACAGGCTTCACCTATGATGTACTGGTGCACATCCCCTTCAGTCTTCCTATGTAAAGGCGTAGTGGATTGAGAGCTTGCTCGTCACACCAATAACATTTGGAAGTAGGGGACGGTGGGGTAACCTAGTGGTTTAAGTGTCCACTCGTCACAATGAAGACCTGGGTTTGATTCCCAACATGAACACAATGTGTGAAGCCCATTTCTGGAATACTCTAGTTGACCTGCAGGAATACTGCTAAAAGTGGTGTAAAATCTTACTCTTCTTAATTTCTTCTACCTCCAAGTTTTCACAATGGGTATTTTAACAGGACCGAACAAATGTAATTAAAGATTAAGATTCATTTGGAAGGAATTTTGACAAGAATAACATGGCAATAAGTCTCTTCCATGTAAAACCACATATGTTTATTTTACAGGATGATGTCACTCCACACTAATCTCACTAGACCAGAAATGAATCACTAATGAAACAATACACGATGTTTAACTGACTGACTGAGTTTGGTTTTAACGCCGCTTTTAGCAATATTCCAGCTACATCACGGCGGGGAACACAAGAAATGGGCTTCACACATTGTACCCATGTGGGGATTCGAACCCGGGTCTTCGGCGTGACGAGCCAACACTTTAACCACTAGGCTACCCCACCGCCCCTACGATGTTTAAACTCTGTAGAGACCCAAGTTGATTAGGTATCCAGCAGTATATTGCTCGTCGTCAGGGGCAACTGATTAGATCAGGCGGTCGGGTTTGGTCACTTGGCTGAACGTATGTCATCATACCTGGTTGGTGTCAGACATTAACATCACTCATAAACTACAAGCTCACATGATAAGACTGGATTATTGCTGACGGAGGCTTTATATAACATTTAATCACTCACTGATGAAGAATTCAACAGTTCTCAATGACACAGGTAATACTATACCTTCAGATGCACAGCTCAGTTAACAACCACAATGGTTTTGAATAAAAGGTATCCCCCCAAACCCAAGGCAGTTCAATGCTGTTTACAACAATCTCATTTCATTGTGTTAATGCCAAGAGTTTTCTATTCAAATTCAATAGTCAAATGATTAGCTGTCTCTGTCAAAAATTATGTCAAAGAGCGCACTGACACAAAACCCTTCACGCAGCACTGTGCTCTACGTTCTTCAATAATACTCGCAGAAAATGGAATGAATGATTGATCCCAACAAAACAAATCACCTGCTGTGAAGTTTAATAGCTGCCAGACTTAGGCATTGCTTCTTGGCGCTGTTCCACCCTCCTCTCATACAACACAACAACCACCAGCCCAATCAACAATGGATTAAATAATCATGGTGGCAACAATAGTACTTTAAAGAAAGAACCATATGAATAGTTTAAAAGCTTAAGGATATTTTTTCAGTTTTAAGTCTTTCTGCCTTTTTTCTAAAACAATTAAGCCAAGCTCCTGCTGCAGAAATAAACATTTGAGATCCTGCATTTCACAATTGATTTGAAAGCAAGCACTTCATGGAGTGGTGCAGCATAACAATTGCTGTCGTATTGTGCAGCGTAATTAGCTTCCATGTGGGCTCACTTCCCCCTGGGTCAAGGTCAGGTCAGGTCACCTACTTTCTATACATAGTCAATAGGTCAGGACTTAGGAGGTCACCATAACAGTAGAGCTTGTCACGATTATGCTAGCCAGTTAACTCAAGGTCACCCAACTATATCCCAATACTCAAGCAATATCTTAGGCTTGCATAAGTCTCTAATAAGCAATAATTAATAGTTTGAATGATAATTTCTGAAAAATAAATAAATGTCCCCTTATCTAGACTTGCCTCTTTAAAGGATAGAATTACTATACCTGCGTAGGCTTAGCATTCAGTACAGCCTTAGAGCAAGGCTAGCAATATCTCAGCTACTTGTAAATAATAGTCACTGGATCATGCCAAGAAACTTATGCAATGATCCACACCATCGGGGTATTATAATCCACACCATCGGGGTATTATAATCCACACCATCGGGGTATTATAATCCAAACCATCGGGGTATTATAATCCACACCATCGGGGTATTATAATCCACACCATCGGGGTATTATAATCCACACCATCGGGGTATTATAATCCACACCATCGGGGTATTATAATCCACACCATCGGGTATTATAATCAACACCATCGGGTATTATAATCCAAACCATCGGGTATTATAATCCACACCATCGGGTATTAAAATCCACACCATCGGGTATTATAATCCACACCATCGGGTATTATAATCCACACCAACGGGTATTAAAATCAAGGACCCACAATCTACAATGTCGCACAATCTACAATGTCGCAGAACTGAATTACCTAATCTCATGACAGAATACATTTAATGTTACCAAAATCGGTGACCAATATCAAAATGCTTGCTAGATTTCAAAAAGAAGAAAAAAGAACTGGTTATCAGGCAAAAGCTTTTAAAAAATGGTGTTTTTCACCCCCAACCTTTGAAAGGTCTCCCTACATAAATATTCCTTAGTAAGTACAATACTGGTAACTTTATCCCTTGATCCAATTTGAAACAGCTTGTGGCAGTCACCATGGTAACTCTTCAGGCAGAAGATCAAGCTCTGTACAGTTGTAATTCACAGAAGTAACTCGACTTGATGCAGACCTGTATACTGACTGACTGACTGACTGACTGAGTATGGTTTTACACCATTTTTAGCAATATTCCAGCAATATCACGGCAGGGGACACCAGAAACGGGCTTCACAAATTGTACCCATGTGGGGAATCAAACCTGGGCCTTCAGCGTGACGAGTAACACTTTAACCACTAGGCTACCCCACCGCCCTCTGTGAATACAGTAGATACAGTATATTCTATCAACAGCACAGACCATATATTCATGCCTTACAACCAGTCAGCTGTGTATGCTCAAACAGCAGATGCATATATGTTTTAATGGTTACCTTTGCCACCTTGTTTTAATATCCAGAGAATTATTATCAGTTTTCAAACGATATGATTGCAAGCTGTAAATAAGTGAGCCTGCACCAGACAATGAAGTGCCTGACATCACAATCATCGATCTACACAACTGGGATACGATGGAGTGAGTGAGTGAGTGAGTGAGTTTGGTTTTACGCTGCTTTTAGAAATATTCCAGCAATATCACGGCGAGGGACACCAGAAATGAGCTTCACACAATGAGCCCATGTGGGGATTCGAACCCGGGTCTTCGGTGTGACGAGTGAAGGGATACGATGGAACAATCCCAGACTATCTACACAGTGAGACTGTGAAGATCAAGGTTAGAATTGGTCTTCAGCTACCCATGCTTGTCGTAAGAGGCGACTGATGGGATCAGGTTAGTCTGTCTCACAGTCCCTGAACCACATTATTTTCCCTACTGCCAAGCCCTAAATAAAGCAAGTCTAGATTTCCTCAGGTTCTGAATCTCTGGTCTCCCTGGGACTCCTTTTCAATTTAAATGGGCTTGTTTGTTACTATCAAAATTATATATATTCAGAGACTAAGCATTAGTCTAGGATCAAATGGTCAGGCTCGTTGACGTCATCGTTTGAAAATTGCGTAGATTGATGCTGAAGATGTTGATCATTGGATTGTCTGGTCCAGACAGGATTGTTTACAGACTGCCTCCAAAGAGCAGGACAATTGCCGAGTGCGGTAAACAACAAACAATAACGATCCACCAAGTGTCCGAGCCATCATATTCCACATTGAGTAGGTAGCTGACACCAAGTCTTATCCAGCACCAGCAGTAGATGGAGGCAATTGATTTACCATTGTCTTCCATGGTGATCAATCAGGCACCTACAGTCTACAGCTGAACTTGGTTACGACATAATTAAAAGGTAGGACTATAGATTTATGTGGAAATGTCCCTTCGGCTTCTACTAATTCAGATCCTGCATGATCCCTGCAGTTTGTGTCCAGCACAGCATGTTGGCAGCAAGTTGAAGAAGATTACACAGCTTGAAGTGAAGTCGAAGTCTTTCAAACGAAGTATTATTAAACCTTTTATCGTCAAACAGAAAAATATATCATTCTTTTAACTGTAGAACTGATACATTTTTAAAAAGATAATAAGTATGGATCCTAGACCAGACATTTGTGACCAACTTTCTAATTTTTATATTTTAACTTACTGCAATGATGATTGTATTGTGATACATGCAATAATTTCTTATGAACCCGAATAATAACTTGCCCACAGATTTGACTTGCCCCACACATTTCTGACAACTTCATCCACCATTATGTCAAATTTCACCACAGTCACAACACACGCACACATATCT